TGGGTTGTTACCAACATCTGGTGAAAATTTCATGTCATTAGCACCTCTAGAAATATATTTACTGAGAAAAATGGTGACGTGTTCAATACGTATTTTACCCGTTGTAAAAGTAATAAAACAGGTAGCCTGGCCCTTGCCTTCCTACACAGTTCTGGTCATTTCTAGTTCCCCTTCACCGCTCCATCTGGGATTTCTCCAGGGGTGAAAGTAAGCCGGTACGGCCCGGTACTGCGTACCACTAAAAGATTCTGCCCTGGTACGCAGTACCGGAAAGAGGGGGAGCAGCTGTCAACTAAAGCTGTCATTCAGAACCAGATCACAGCTGCACTTTCTGTCAGAATAGACCTGATAGCAATAGGCAATATAAAACACAATCAATCTGTTTATAAATAGTTTTTTTCTCATCCCAAACTGTTTCTGAACTGTCCCTACCAGCTCCTCTTCCCTCGGAGCTCGAGGCTTTCATGAACCACCAGGCGCGGCCGATTCATAATGGCAAAATTAATTCGCCTCACAAAATTGTTCCTCCTGATAAGCTCAGTTTGTAATTTGTTATTTGATGTGTTTTTCCAACTACTTTTACTTTTCGTGAGTCAAAAGCGAGACAGTGTGTGTGCGTCACACTGAGCGCGTTTGCGCTGTTTTTCAGCAGCATGCGTAACGCGCTCATTAGTGTGAGGTGAGCTCATGAGTTTTTCTCGAATAAAATCCTGCAGGCGCCGCATCATGAGGCTGCAAAACCAACATGACAGCACGTTCTATTGAATGTTTAGTCATTTAAAAAAGAAAGTGACGGGTAAAAATTTATCATGACAGTTTTTTTTAACCCTGTCAGTAAAAATGACGGACAGGAAAAAAAGTAGAACAAAACCTGTCAATCAACAGGGGCGCTGCGAGTAGGGGTGGCCAGGAGGGGCAATGCTCCCACCCCTAGATAAATAATGGCCCTACCAGCTTTATCCTCTTGGATTCCAAGGTTTTGTTCTATGCTCATTTTAAAGGGCTCGACATACGGGGAGCAGCAAACTACAGCGATTAACGGCTGTCATCGCAGCCAGGGTGAAACCCGACACACGGGACGCGATCGCAGCGTTGCGAATCGCGCTCTCAGATCGCTTGTCT